CCAGGTCCGGGGATGGGGGTGGGGGGGGGCTGTTCTTTAGCATCTTACCTGCTCCTTCCTCCTTCCCGCTGTTGCTCAGCGTCCCACCTGCCTGGCTGTGGTCCCCTTGGCTCCTTGCTTCCTACAGCCCCCCATCCCCAGAGTAGGAGCAGAAGGTCTGCCCTCACTATCCCTTAGCACCCCCATAGCCCCTGGCTCCCTGGAATCACCAGAACCTCAGCTGTTGTGGGCTCTCCTCCCACTGTGTGGTCCCCACCCAACAGTTCATTTGCACCGATGAGCTTGTGCCTGCCCACATCCATCCTTCCACCCACCCACCCACCCATCCATCCATCTATCCATCCACCCATCCATCCATCCATCCATCCACCCACCCAACCATCCACCACCCACCCACCCATCCATCCACCCACCCATCCACCCACCCACCCACCCATCCATCCATCCATCCATCCATCTCTTAGTCTATTCAGGCTGCTATAATAAAAATACCCAATACACTTGGGTGGTTTATAAACAACACAAATTTATTTATTCCCCCCAGTTCTGGAGGCTGGATGTCAAAGATCAAGGTGCTGGCAGACTTAGTGTCTGATGAGGACCTCTTTCTGATTCATAGATGGCAGACTTTTCGCTGTGTCCTTACATGGCAGAAGCGGGGAAGGAGCCCTCTGGGGTCTCTTCTATAAGGACACTAATCCCATCCATGAAGCCTCCACCCTCATGACCTCATCACCCCAAAGCCCCCACCTCCTCATACCATCACCCTGTGGGGGGCGTGGGGCATTAGGATTTCAACATATGAATTTTGGAACGCACACATTTAGTCTATAGTACCATGTATCCTTCTATCTGCCCTCTCATCCCAGCTATCCATCCATCCACCCACCCACCACTCACCTACTCACCCACCCACTTGACCCTCCATCTACCCCGCAAGCGCTCAGTGAGCACCTGCCGTGTCAGCCTCCGTCTGGTGGGAAGACAGCTGAGTAAACAGACAGTGACAACTGGATATCTAGGGCCAAGAGAGAGAACATTTCCCACTTGGGTTCTGAAAACATGAGTCCACACGCCTTCTCTGCTCTGGGCTGCGTCTCCAAGGTAGCTGACCTGACCCATTTTACCCTCTACACCCAAATTGCTCCTCCTGGATTCCAAGGAGGCAGAAGGTGCCTGATCTGGGCTGAGACCAGGGCACTCAAAGCCCACACAGGCCCCAGCTGCCTCCCTGACTGGCCACACAACCTCAAGCAGTTTGCTGTCCCCCCACTTGGTCCCCGCTGCCCACACTGTGAAGGGACTGGGTTGGCTGCTTTCCAAGGCCCCTGCTGGGACTGGGCCACTTCTGCCACACATGGAACAGGTTGCCCGCCACTGAGCACGAGGCCTGCCTCTCTGAGTTCAGCGGTCCCTGGGCCTCCGTGGCTCCTTTGCTCCCACCTGTGCTGGGGCTACGGCACTGGTTCCGCCTCTTCCCCTAAACACCACAAACTGTCCTGTGCACCTTGACCCTGGAGCCCTGCTGAGCACCCAGCGCAGGGCCGGCGACACGGCGAGCAGTCGTGCAGTTTGGCCCGACGTTTTGCAGGGCACGCACTTGGTTCTGCTCTGCAGTAGCTATCTGGAAACTCTTCATCATTTTTGGACAAGAGCCCCTGCGTTTGGCCCCGCAGGTCCTGCCCATGGTCCTGCTGCCCAGGAACCCAAGCCCAGCCTGCAGAGCCCTGGCTCAGGCCACGCCCCCGTGTTCCTGTGTGGGAGGAGGGCTGGGGGTGACTCGGGGCTGGGACTTGCCCTCTCTGCCGGTCAGGGATGGACAGGCGTGCATTTCCAGTGCCCCCCCCCACCCCCGCTTGGAGACAATCGCTGGTCAGGAGCAAAATCATCTCTCTTCACGAGGGCATCAAAGCCGGGGTGCCGCCCGGGGTGCCTGCAGTAGATGAACAGAGGGTACCCAGAAGGGATGGGCATGGACTTTTCAAGCCAGGACGGTGTCAGAGCCTGGGTCACCTTCTGTAAAGTATGGCTTCCCTGGGGCCCAAGGCTCAGAGCTGTCACAGGGCCACCTGGTGCAGGTCAGTGTGAGTATCGGACAATGAAATGCCAACCAGAACAGCCTTCTGTAGTTTCGTCCAGAGGGGCCTAAACTCCCGTCCCGGCTCTCCTTGCATGTGAACGGAGCCATTGAGAGCAACTTCCGGCCTCAGGTTTCCCATCTGCACAGTGGGTGTAATCTCATCGGCCTCCAGGGTTGGGGGTGGTGGAGTGTCGTAACTGCTCTGGGAGGCCTGTGAGAGCCCACAGTGTTGTGCTGTTTTTGGACAGGACCACAGATGCGGGCCCTGTGCTGGCACAGAGGAGGCATTCAAGGAAAGCCGGTTACATGAAGGAAGGCAGGAACACATGGGTGGTGTGAGCTCCAGCAATGCGCCCAGACGCAAGGTTGCCAGGCTCGGGCCCTGTGGTGAGGCAAGGCCATGGCTGGGAGGGAGGGTGGGAGGGAGATGGGGCAGGAATGTCAAGGGGAAGAAGGAGCTGGCTGGCACTCAGGAAGGAGCAGTAAGTAAGCAGTGCCCAGGGGATTAGGAAAGCACCAAGCGGAAAGGAGAGGCGTGGAGGGCCCTTCACAAATCAGATGGGAAGCAGATTAGATGCTGAATCAGTTGAAGAGTCTCCAGCCGGATCAAAGGTGCTTCTGGGGGATGTGGATGGCTATTCGGGCTCAGGCTGGAAGGAGGAGGGCGCCAGGTGGCTGGGGAGCTGGGCCAGCTGGGACCTGCCTGGTGCCCACCTGGTTGCCTGCCGTGCCCCTCGAGCTGGGTCCTGCATTTGCCAGCTCTGTGGCCAGACCTCCTAGACGCTGGGGGCCCCAGAGACTCCTGGCTGGGGGAGAGCATAGCGGGGCGAGGAGAGGTCTCAGAGGGCAAACCCCACCAGCTTTATTCCTCCCCAGGGGACCCAGCCACCTGTCTAGGCCTTCCCGATGCCTCCTGAAGCTTTTGTCTCAGGCTGCGGGCTGCAGCCTCTGCTGGGCCGTGGGGCGCTGAGCTGTCTCTCCAGGGGCCCAGGTGGGGAAGCCGTCTGGCTCCTATGTCCTTGGTGGTGGTGTCGTGGGCTTTGATACCACGTTAATCCTCAGAGGAGGGAGACAACGGCAGGCGTCAGTCACTGAGTGTGGGTGGGGGGATGCCAGGAGCCCACGCCCAGTACCTGGGGCTTTCTAAGCAACCTCCTCCGGCCCCAACCCCACACCGGGCTGGGCCGGAGCCAGGAACCTAGCCCTTCGGGGCTTTGTGGGCAACTTGGGCAGTGTTTCTTAAAGAGGGTTTCAAGGAACACTGGTCCCATAAAATGTTCCAGGGAAAGAATTTCCGGGGTCAGATTAGCTTGAAAAACTCTGCTTCCTCCTGTTGGAGGCTCATCGTAGAGGCTCTGACCAGTCCTCAGTAAAGACTGCTTCGTCCTGTGATTCCCAAACTTCTTTGATCCTACTGATGTCCCGTGGAACTAGAGGTGGCTTTGGGAAACGTGTATCTGTGTTCTCTCCAAGCTAAGCAGGTGTCTGCAGTGCTGTGATCTTTATTTTCTCGAGTGGATTTTGTCTGCAGGGTGGGTCAGGTGCTGCCCTTGTCCCACACTGCAGATGCTGCATCGTTCCCCTTGCGGGGTGGGGCAGGGATAGGCATCAGCGACCCTCCAGAATCCTCCACACTGTGTGGGGCAGCGGAGCGTCTGCTCCCTCGGGAAGGAACACCTTTCTGCCTCTCTGGTGGGAAGGAAAAGCTCTGTCCTGATTGGATGCTGGGGGTCCCACACTGTTACAAAAACCATCAGAGCGGGTCTCTCCTCAGGCTGTTGGCCCCTGGAGAGTCTGGGGACAGGGGGTCCCCCCAATCCTGCCCAGGAAAGGGAGAAAAGATGGGAGGGCAGAGAGGACCCCGGGGCCCAGCAATGCCGGCTGTGCACAGTGGAGGCTGGGAAAGAGATGCCGGGGCAGAGAGGGGCTTCCCAGACCTCTGGTCCAAAGCTGGACAACCCGGAGCTGACCAGAGACCAGTGAGGAGCCAGTGGATATGGACGGTCAGCACGTGGTGGCAGGGAGCCACTCAGGGAGGTCACAGCGAGGGAGCCGGCCGGGTGCAAGGCCATTTGGGAAGGGTGGGATCAAGGGAATTTCAGGCCCCTGGTCAGGCCAAGGGGGATCCCCAGAGGCGGCAGAGTGCAGGTTTGGGCACGAAAGGGGGACCCCTGCCTAGGCTCACCTCCTCCCCAGCTTTTCCACCCCAGCCTTCATGTGAGACTTCCAGAAGTATCTGAACTTCCCGAGGAGCAGCCGGCAGAGGCTCTGCTCTCCTGGCCTTGGTGGGCTGGCAGCCCCTCCACACACCCACAGGGAGGGCCAGCCAGGAGCCTGGCCCACAGCCAGCCCCACGTGCTCTGTGGCTGGACGGCTGCGAGGGTGTTGGGTGGGCTCAGTTTGCCGAGTGGTGCAATGGGAGGCGCAGAGCCTTGGGAGGAGCTGGGGTCCCGGGCCTGTGCCAGGCGGGGATCCTGCCGTCAGGGCCCCTCCCCGGCAGCCGACGCAGCGTGGGAACGCTCGGGCTCAGGCTGCGAACGTTCCCGAAGATTGACAAGGTCCAGGGCCTGCGCTCTGCCTCCCGGGGGATAGGATTGACGGCTGATCAGTGGGGGGCGGGTAGCCCGGGCAGGGTGTGCTGGGAAGAGCGAGCCCCTGACTTCCACTGCGCCCCTCCCACTCCTCCCAGGCCTGGCCCCTCAGTTTGGATATCGGAGGGAAGGGCTGGGGCCCCCGCACGGCGACCCTGAGACGGTGGCTGCATTATGGCGGGAGGTCAGCTCCAGGCAGCCACCCTGCCAAGGCCGTGGTGAGCACAGCAGGGGAGGAGGGTGCCTGTGAAGGGACCCTGGCTCCCTCCGCCTGCCCAGGTCTTCCGCTGCCCCCCACCCCGCTCTGGGGCACGTGTGGCACATCGTGACTCCCAAACCCCCTCCATTCCTTCCACAGCCCCCCACCACCAGGCCCAGGACCTCCCAGACTCCTGCCCCATAAAAATCCCCATGTTCCTCACGCACCCCATCTTCCAAATGGACTCAGGATAGGGATGGGAAGGTGGTCCCAGAAGAGGGGTTGACCTTGGCCCAGCGCACATCTGAGAGGCAGACACCTTCGGCCAGGTGAGGTTAAGAGCCCTGACCAGCCGCCTTTCCAGTGCGGGCTCCGGTGACTTGGGTTTTCTTGGCCTGAATCTCAGTCTGCTGAAGCTGGATGAGCCCCGGAGACAGTCCCAGCCCGTGTGTCCGGAGACCCCTGACCTCTGAGAAGTAGCGCCGGGGTCTGTAAGGGGGCCTCCAGGGCTCCGCCGGCGGCAGCCGAGCGACTCCACCTACACCTGCCTGGGTTTTCACTCTGTCCGATTGCCCACCTGTGGCAGAGTCCCCAGGATGGTCAGGGCCCTCCAGGGATACATGTCAGGTCAGTGTCGAGGCTGGAGATGTGTCCCCAGCCCAGGCCTCTCCCTCCAGCTTCTCTAGTTGGGAGGGAAAGTGGCAGCTGCCTCCCCTCTGCCTGCCACAGGGCTGTTGGCACAGTAGCAGGGACACTGGTTCTATAAGGTGACTCTGATGTTCCCCAGGCAGCACCTGGACCACAGAGCTGGACCTCAGCTTGGGACGGGTTTTGGGTATTTGAGAAAATCTCTTGCACAGCTAGAGTTGGATCAGGTGGGACCTATATGTCCCCTCACCCACCTAACTTTCAATCCATCTCTCCATCCAGACAGACTTCTATCCTTCATTCCAATCCTCCAGGTACTCAGCCACCCATCCATTGGCTCGTCGATCCATTCATTGCTTATTTATCCATCTATCCATCCATCTTTTGGCCCATCCATTCACAGGTTTATCCATCCATCCATCCATCCATCCATCCATCCATCCATCCATCCATCTAACCATCTATCTGTCCCTCTGTCTTCCCACCCTATTTATAAATGTGGCTCTCATTTATCCAACCACCTATCCATCTATCTGTCCAATTATGCCACTGTCCATCCACCTGTCCATTCATTGACCCAGCCAAATATCCATGAACAGATAATGTCACACAAGGCTGCCATGTTGGTCACAAAGCGCAGAGTGACACCATTTCTTGGATTGTGTGACGATCCCTACTTAGGTGAAAACACTGGGGCATAGGAGGCAGCATATATATTGGAAATAACGACTTACGGTCAGACTGACATGGGCTCAAACCCTAACTCCATCCTCTCTTGAGTTGTGTGGTCTTGGGTCGGTCATTTGCCTCTCTGAGCCTCAGTTTCTTCCTGTGTAAAACAAGAATATGAACATTGAGATTGTTCTGGGAATTAAAGATAAAAGGTGTAACATTTTCCTGCACATAGTAGGTTCTTTTTTTCTTGAAGAGCAAACATTTATTTCTCACAGTTCTGGAGGCTGGGAAGTCCCAGATCCAGCTGCTGGCAGATCCAGTGCCTGGTGAGACCCCTCTTGGCTTTGCAGGCAGCCATCCTCTCGTGTCCTCACACGGTGGAGGACAGAGAGAGGGCTGCACATAGTAGGTCCTTAATAAAAGTTTGTGCCCTGGAGGAACAACCGTTGAGCCCAGGCTGTGCCCAGGGCTCGTTCCTCTAGTCTCAGAGCTCTTTGCCATCCCGTTCAGGTGGCCATCTGTTCATCCAGTGCAGCTGGGTGACTCCAACAGCAGCCTGAGCTTCAGAGCCGTGGGGGGCCATCGGACGCTTGCCACCCAGAGGTGGCCTGGGCCCGGCCTCCCCCGGCCAAGGCTGGCTGCTGCAACCCAAGCAGGCAACCCAAAGGTGCATGGCCTGTGCTCCCAGGACATAGTCTCCCTCTAGTCCCTGCCGACGTGCCCCTACCCAAGCCCAGCTGCCAGGCCCAGGAGGCGTGCACACACAGCGTGGAGCAGGAACCGAGCCAAAGCCCTCTGAGCTCATCTCTGCCCGACCGACCAGGCAGGCCGGTCCCTTCCCCACGGTAGGTAAATACAGGCATCTAGTTACGTGGCAACATGGCCGGTCTGTGGTGGCGGGGGAGGCAGCTTACAGAACGGCAGTGTGGCGCTTGGGCGCTACAGGAGAGGGAGGCCCCCTTCATGATGTGGCTGGTACCCTGGTGCCCACCCCTGGGGGTTACTTGTTTGATCCAGGAGCCGCAGATGGCCCAGGCAGCAGGACGTCCAGATACAAGGCATCTCTGTGCAGCCCTCCTGGAGTCACACACAGGTCTGCAGGCTCACCGCTGCCCAGCCGGCATCGCCACATGCTCTCACGGAATCCTCCCACTGTCCCCACTTTACGGATGGGGCAGCTGACCCCCAGAGAGGAGAGATGCTTGTTCAAGAGAAGTGTTGGTCTGACTCAGCCATGCTCTAGGGCTGAGACCCCTGCTTTGGGCAGCCTGTCCTTAGCTTGGCCAGCCCTGGGGTCCCTGGGGTCTTCCCCAGCTCCTGCCTCAGGAGCTCCGAGGCTGGCAGCCCCCAGGTAAGGCGAGGTAGCCAGGCTATGACAGACCCCATCCTCCCACCGCCTCCTCTCGATCACATGGCTCAGGGTCAGAAATGCACCCACACTTTCCTCCTCCTCTGCCTGAGGAACCCCTGGGTGCCCTGCCCAAGCCCACTCAGGCTGCCCCTCGGGGAAGCCCTCCCCGACCCCCGAGTCTCCAGGGCGAGGCTCCTGGGGGTCTGTGGACCTCAGGCTCTTCTGCCACAGGGGAGAGTGATCCCGGGAATCACCTTGCAGATTAGGCGAGAAAACTATTATAAAGCTCGTTCCGTGTCCCTCACACGCAGAAAGGGCCCAACACATAGAAGTTCTAAAATCATAGCTCAGATGGGCACCGATGCACCTCAGTAACCCAGTCTTTCTCAGGCAGCAGCTGTGTCCGGCTTCTCTTCGGCTCTCCTCCTGATGCAGGTCCAGTCCTGAGGGGAGGGAAAACCGCTGGGGACTAGTGGACGGTTGGATGGATGGAAAATGGGACGAATAAATGGACACAAGATTTAATGGGAGAGAGGAAGAGGGGAGATGGAGAGAAAGTAGAGGTGGGAGGTGGTCCAGCTCCGTTAACCCCACAGGCTCTGGAGTCAGATGAAGCTCACATCCCAGCTGTGTGACGGGTTGGGGACATCACCTCCCTGTGTCTCATTTCTATTATTTGCATCTAGAAAAGGGAACATAACTGTACCCACCCCGGCACGCTGTTGTGAAGATTAAACAAAACGAGCATGCAGGGACCTATCTTCATACGTGACACTCGGAAAATGACACTCAAGTTTCCTTCCTCCCGGACACCCCGGCTCCAGTTCCCAGCGAGGCCCGGTACCTGCCCGGCCATTCCTGCGCCGGGCGTGCCCCGCGTCCTCCCACCCCTGTCAAAATCCCCTGGATCAGCGCCTCTCCCAGGTATGTCCTGGTTATGTAATCACCGCGGAGCAGCTCCACGCCGGCCAGCTCTTCCCTGGCTCCTGTTTGCTCATTGGCTCAGGGAAGAGCTCCATTCAGAAGAAATTGCTATTGTTACTCAGCCTTCCCATGGGAAAGCAGCATAGGGGAGGAGCTCAGTGAACCGGCAGGGGAGGCGGGAGTGGTGGCAGAGGAGGAGGAGAGAGGGAAGCAGGCCCTGGCACAGCCCCGGGCTTTCTTGATACATACACAGGACTTACCATTCACTTGATCTCTTTAAAAACAAAAGCCTCAAAGAATTTTTTGCATGACTTGATTTTCTGATAAACCTGAAAAATGGTTAAGAAAAAGGCAGCCCATTATTCCACCCACTTCCTTCGTCATGACCTTTCACTTCACTTCTTACCATGTTTTGTTGACTTTACATTCGTTCATGAGTGTATGCATGCATCCATCCACATGTCCATCCATTTATCCACACATCCACCAGTTCACCCCTCCATCCACCCATCCACACACCCACCCACCCATCCATCAATCCATGGTCCATCCATCCATCATCCATCTACCCATCCACCCATCCACACACCCACCCAGCCATCCATCGTCCATCTATCCATCGTCCATCCATCCATCATCCATCCACCCATCCACACACCCACCCACCCATCCATCAATCCATGGTCCATCCATCCGTCATCCATCTACCCATCTATCCATCCACACAACCACCCACCCATCCATCATCATCCATCCATTGTCCATCCATCCATCATCCATCCATCCATCCACACACCCACACATCCATCCATCGTCCATCTACATATCCATCCATCCACACAGCCACCCACCCATCCATCAATCCATGGTCCATCCATCCGTCATCCATCTACCCACCCACCCATCCATCATCCATCCATCCATCATCCATCCATCCATCGTCCATCCACCCATCACCCATCTACCCATCCATGAATCCATCCCTTCTTTCACCTACCATGTATTAAGTCAGTAGTGGAAGAAATAGTGGACTAGAGTCTTGTGACCTGGCTTCTAGTCTTAGCACGGCCACAGTGTTGAAGCTGAGTGTTCTGTGCAGACAGCAAGGTATGAGAGTGACACCTACCCAGGTCTGGGTCTCACATCTGCCATCTTCACTCCTGTCTTTGGCTAAACCCTTCCCCTCTTTGAGCGTCAGCTTCCTCATCTGTGAAACAGAGCAGTAATGGTACTTGTCTTATTATTTTGAGGGCACGGTAAGAAAATTTACAGGGAGTTCCTGGAACCACGTGAGCCTTCCAGTAGGAGGTACTCAGGTCCTGTGCTTTGGGTGGGGGGGGCTGCCAAGATGGGACAAGAGCTAGCCCTGGTCTTCAGGGCTTTCTGGGCAGTGGAGCAGAAAAAGACCCAGCCAGCATCAGAGGGGTGGAAACGAAGAAGAATGAAAGGATACAAAACCAGAGAGGCATGGTAAGGAAAGGTCTTGATGGCCGTGGTGATCATGGGTTTTGAGCAGGGTAGAACATGGTTGGATTAGTATTTTGGAAGGACCCTTCTGGCTGCTGTGGATTAGAAATGGGGTCCCACAGGGAGGGAAACCAGTTAGGAGACTGGTAGTTGCCTGGAGTAAAGATCATGAGACTAGAGATCATGGTGGGGGGTGGGGAATGTGACACTAAACTTCACAGATATTTTTACTTCTAAATGTGAAAACTGTGCAGGCACCAGAATCAATGACCTGGGCCTCGGGTGACCTGGGTCACACCAGTTCCCTTGGTCTTTGGCAACACAGCACTCGTATCTTACCTTACCAGCCTGTGTCCCTGGTAGACATTGCTAATCAATTGCAGCTCTCCTTCCCCTAGAGCCTAAAACCATGCCGCCCAATATGGTAGCCACCAGCCATCATTTAAAAATGGTTATTTAAATCTAAATCAAATCAAATGAAATCAAATGAATAATTCTGTTGCTGAAATGCAATAGTCACATTTCAAGGGCTGTACACCTACATGGGAAGAGCAGCTCCCTGTCGGCCGGAGCAGATACACAACATTTCTGTCATCACAGATGTTCTCTTGGACTGTGCTGCCCTCATTGCTGGGAAGGACACAAACCCTCTGCCTTTTTGGGCCAAGAAGGCGTGAATTCTGCCAAACACCAGACTTGCCCGGGGGTCACATCTCACTGCAGGTTCCGTTTCCATCTGAATTTTACATACGGCAAGGTCAGCCTTGAAAGAGCAAGGTCCTTCTGGGCTGACCCTTCTCAAGTTCACTTTCTTGTCTCTAAGGAAAAAAAAAAAGTAAAACCCTTGCCATGCGGCCACACACATACTCAGCGAGTGTTGTTTCTGCCCTCAGCTCGCTTGATTTCTTCAGCCTCCAGAGACCTGGTGCTTCTGTTCTGCATGTATTTTTAGTGCCTCTGGGTGAATGTCGTTGCCGCCAGAGGCTGACATTTCATACTCTGGGAACCCTGACCTGCTGCTTTCCGGTTGTGAGCTAAACCTGCTTTTTCATGCCCCAGAAGGAAAGAACAATGATCATTAATAATCAGCATCTTCTGGAAAATAGGAAATGGAGCCTTCATGATCCGAGGCTGCCCTTAACCCCAGCTGTGCTGCCTGCAGGGGCCACCGCATGGCTGATCTACCAAAGTTTCCGTGGCTGCCAGGGTTACACCCTGAGGCCACCAGCCATGCCAAAGCACGGACAGTGGGCAGTAGGCAGTGGCCTGGCCACATAACTAGGGGGAGGACGAGGCTGGGGCAGAGTCATAAAAACTTGATGGAGAAAAAAGCGTTTCCAACTTGTGTAGAGACCTGTGGCCCACCTCCAGAGACCGGCACAGGGAACACCCTCCCAGGGCAGGGTTGGGTGGAGGCAGGAGTAGGGGAGGATGCCTTGCTCTCGGCGGGCGGGGGTGTCTTTTTGCGCTGGGGAGATTGAGTGATCCAAAATGCCGGAGCCTCTGACCCTGGGCTGGGTCCCGTGCTGGGTCCTGGGGGCCACAGAGGAAGGAGGACCAGGTAAGTGGTGGCAGGATATTGGCATAGGGAAGGAACACCGGCCAGCTGCTGGCTCAGGGATGGGGCAGAGGGGCATAGGGCCTCGCACCTGTCGGCAGGAACGAGGCTACAGGTTCCCCCAGTGCCCCTCCTCCCCAGGTGCACAGGTGGTCCCTCCAGCCCCTGTGGCAGTGGGAACCGAAGCTGGCCTGGCCTTTAGGGAAGAGGGGCGGGACTTGCCGAAATCACCTTTGACAAGGAAAGCAAAGGTCACGGGAACAATTCCTCCCTTTCACGCTGGGCGACCCGGCAGGAGTATGCTGGAGCTGACAGAGGGTGGCAGCCCCTCCCAGGCGGCCCAAGACAAACAGGGTGGCAGGAAGTTCCCACGCTCCCAGGACTGGCGCCCAGGAGCCTCTGCAGTCACCTGCTGGGGGTTGGGGCTGCCAGGAGGGCGGGGCCTCAGCCACCCACAGGTGAGCCTGGAGCCCCACAGCCTGGAGGCGGGGTCAGCTGAGCACATGCGCTGACACCTACTCGGTGACTTGCACTTTGCAAACACCATCTCCCTGAGTCCTTACAAAAATCCTGCTAGGTTAACATTATGGTCTTCAGTTCACAGAATAGGAACCTGAGACCCAGAGAGGTTAAGTGACTTCCTTTGGGTCACACAGCCCCAAAAGGGAAGAGTCAGGATTTGGGCTCAGGCTCCTCTGGTTTTGAAGTCTGTGCCCTTTAGTCATGTATTCACTCAGCAAACCTTTGCTGACCCCCTCCTGTGTGCCAGGCTCTTAGCCAGGGGCCAGGATGGAAATGTAATCAGGGCCATGGTCCCGTGGGCAACCTCGTGTCTCATTTCACAGCAAAAGTCCACATTAGCAGTGACCTAGGGCTCCATCTGCAAAGGGTGAGTGGGTCCCTAAACCGACCTCAGTGGAATATGCTAGGTGATAGGACAGCACACCCAGCTGTGGGGAGAAGGCCCTGGAGGAACACAATAGCCTCAACTCCTAGATTTTTGTTTCAGTGCTACTTCTGCTGATCTCTGGGCTGGGATGGGTGGCCTGGGGTGGGTGTCCCCCTACCCTTGAAATCGGGGTGACCGAGAGCTAGCTCCTCTAACCCCATGAGCACCTGCTTCCAAAGGAGTAGACGAACTGACCAGGGAGCCCAGGCCATGGCTACACGTGGGTCACCTCTCCCAAGCCACTCAGAGATGCTCCCGGGCTGGAGCTCTTGGAGGGCAGGGCTGCCCCTTTGCTTGAGGGACATTGACCCAGGGCTGGCCGTGGGCAGGCTCGGGGGTCCCAGAGGTGCAGACCGCCCCACCACCACCTCAGCACCCAGCACAGACCTGGCATGGAGTAGGTGCACAGGAAGAGCCAGCTGAATGATTGTGGCTACTGCTGGGTCACCAGCTGTCGCTGCTGCCCCTGTGGACAAAGGCTTCCAAGGGTCCCTGGGGCTTTGAGGGTCTTCAGGTCTCGGAGGACCCCACACAGCTGCCTCACGGGGACCACACTGCTGCCGGTACCCCCAAACAGAGCACCATCTTGCCGGTTCATCATGCCACCTCAGAGCCCATGTTTATGACGAGGTTAAGTTAGGTCAAAGGGCACCTCTCAGGCTGGAGTTTGGGACAGCAGCAGCTCCTGGAGCCCAGATGAGGGTGGGAGCTGAGAGCCTGGGATGGAGGGTGAAGCGAGGCTCTCCCCATCGTGGGCCCCCAGCCAGGAATCCAGTGGGACCGTATGGCCCCTCTCACCTCTCAGATTCCAGGCTCGCAAGGTCAGGAACCACTGATGCTGTGGCCAAAGGGCACGTGCTCAAGAATGACCCGTCCTCTGAGGGCCGGCTTTCCCTTCCCCGCAGGAATGGGGAGTCAGGCCTGGAGTCAGGGGACAGCCCTGCCCACTCACTTGTTCCACTGCCCATCCACTTATCCACCGTTCTAACGAACACTTACCAACGTCCGTCCAAAGGTACGCAGCTATCCCATCAGGTTACCCACCCGCCAACCAGCCGTTCACACAGGCGTCCATCCTGTCATCTGACCACCGGTCCACCTATTGACTCACCAGCATCCTCCACTGACGGTCCATCTACTCACTTAGCCTTCACCTGCCCATTGAGTTGTCCCTCTGTCCACGTTTTGATGTACCTGCACATCCGTCCACTCCCTCAAACCCCTAGTGCCAGGCCTGAGGCCATCAGTGGGCACAAAGCAGGGTTGGCTGGCATTAATTCCGGGTGATGTAGCCAACACCAAGTTGGTTCAAAGCAAACACTTTGTCACTGGCTTTGCGGCTTTCCCTCCAGCCACACCTGCCCTTCCTCTCCTGGGAAGAAGTCAAAAGGCATGGAGGGTGGGGAAGCGAGGGCTTTGGGTCTCTGCCATTTATTAGCTGCGTGACCTTGGACTTGGTAACTTTTCCATGTTGTATGATGTGAAGATTCACTCCAGCACGTCTTTGCTGAGCCACTGTAACAGTGAAATGCCCACCGTAAGTAATCTGCGTTATTGCCGTAATTAACTATCACTGACAGAGGCTGCACTGTCCAATTTCATCTGATGGTACTAGAAAGAACGGTTGCTGGGATTCCCGAATGCCAGGTTAGTGAAAAAACATCTCTTTCTGCAGCTTTTCCTTCACCCAAGCCTTCCTTTTTGTAGCTGGCCGGGTCTCGTTTCCAATTGCACATTTCTTTTTTATTTAAGCAGCACTGATAACACCTTTTTGATAAAAGGAAAACAAAACTTCCAGCGGAGATAAAGGAATGTCCGTGTTCTTTGTCAGCGGTCCTGGGAAGGAGCGTTCCACAGCCCATGTTATTTTCCCACTGGAATGTGACAAAGGAGGTGTGAAATATTTGTCCAGATCATTTCTCATCAATGGGACATTCCAATAACCACGAGCAGTGTTGGCCTTTTTTTCTCCTAAGCACAGCCCAGAGGGAGCCACTAGTCTGGCTAATCTGGATTTGCGGGCATAAGTCCTGGCTCACTGGCTGAACTGGGGGGACGGGGACACTCGTGTTCCACCGGGGCGGTGTGTTTGTCTGAGTCAGCTGCTGGCCTGCTGCTGGGTCTGGGCTGTGTCAGAGGCTGAACCTGAAGCTCTGGTACGTGCCAGACCCCTGGGCCCATGCAGCTTTATTCTCTCTCTTGCCTGGGAGAAATGATTCAGTATTCTATTTTAGAGGAGGAGACTGAGGGTCAGAGTGCATATGGGAGACTTACTCAAGGTCACACACATTTCAGATCTGATACCAACATCTAGCTCTGGCTGCCACGGCCAGAGGTGCTGCCATTCACCTGGTCATCCTCTCCCCAAGGGCCTTCCGAGGAGGCTTGTGTTTGAGAAGGGTGCCTCCTGGGCCCAACCGTCCATCATGTTTCCCCAAAAGTGATGACGGCCTGGTGTGAGCTTTTCCCCTCACCTGAGACAGAGGCCCACAGCTGCCTCTATGGTACAGGTCTTGTCTCCAATCAGTATGGTACCCCCACCTGGCACGCCCCCCTCCTCCAATCCCAGCTGTCTCTGAAACTCCTCTGACACCAGATACCACTGTACCACTGACCACTGGTCTTATAGCAGAATGCAGGAGCCCGGTGGGAGAGTCCGACAGGCCTGGGGTGGCAGCCAGTTCAAGACAGCCTCCGACGATCCTTGCCTGTTGGTATTCAACCCCTGTGTAGTTCCCTCCCACCTTGAATAGGCTCACCTGGTAGCCAGCGGAATGCTGTGGGATGCTGGAGCGTGACTCCCAAGGCCACGTCATAGAAGGCGTTGTGGCTTCTACCTCGTTCTCTTCAACTGCTCACTCTGGGGTAAGACGTCCGCCACGTTGCGAGGACACACAAGCATCCCTGTAGAGAGGCCCGTGTGGCAGGGTCCTGAGGCGTCCTGCCAACAGCCGGGTGAAGGAGCTGTCTCGGAGGTGAGTCCTCCAGCCTCGGTCAAGCCTTCAGATAACTGCAGCCCCGGCTGCCATCTTGACTGTAGTCTCCTAAGAGATTCTGGTCCAGAGCCACCCAGTCTAGCGGCTCCCAGATCCTTGACCCACAGAAACAGTGGGAGGTAAGACATATTTGTGGTTTCCAGCCACTACGTTTTGGGGTAATTTGTTACACAGCAAGAGATAATTAATACCTGAACTTTGAATGGTGTGCTTCTCCTTATGAGTTAAGTCACCTGGGTCAGGTGACTCCGCTTGGAGCCCTGGTTTCGTCCTTTACAAGACAGGCTGATCATAACTCCCTAGAGAACTGTGCTGAGAGCCAGATGGGATGCAGCCTGCACTGTGCCTGGCATCCCAGGGGCCACCGGGCTGCTATTATCATTGCTGCAGCCACCTGTGCCTGTGTGGGGTTCTGACCTCCCTGCTTGGGGTGTCAGTACCTGTGACCAGGGCCACCTTCTTACATCCCTCTTATGCCCCCCCCCCCCACTCACCTGGACCAGTGCCTGGACCAGGGCTGAAGTGGGCTCTCAGGCACTGCTGCAGAACTAATGAATGAAGAGGGATTTTTTTTTAATGAAAATATTTTGTGACAAAATGCTAGGAACGTGAAATTTACCCTCTCAATCATTTTTACGTGTCCAGTTCTGTAGTATTTAAGTACATTCACATTGTTGTGCAACCAACCTACAGAATTTTTTCCTCTTTTTAAACGGACCCCGTTCAACAGCAACTCCCCATCGCCCTCCCACCGTCCCTGGCATCCCCATCCTACTCTCTGTCTCTGTGACTTTGACTCCTAGAGGGGCCTCCCGTACGTGGACTCATGTAGCACGTGTCCTGGCTTGTCTCACAGCATATGGCGCCCTCCAGGCCCCCACCCCCCCCAACGTTGGAAAATGTGTCAGAATGTGTCCTTCCTCTCTGAGGCTGAGTAATATTCCACAGTGAATGGTTTCTTGTTTTGTGTCCCTTCTGCTCCCATCACCACCATGAGATTGTTGGGGTCAGGCATGAAGTTTTACTTATCTGCTTGTTCCCAGCACGTATCTTGGAACTTGGCCCTGAATCAGCCTTACTCAAGATGCATTTATGGAAGAAATGACTAAGGTCCGAATGCCTGGGTTTGTGTCCTGGTTCAGCCACTGGTTGGCTGGGTGGCCTCAGCAGGTGGCTTGCCCTCTCTGAACCTCCGTTTCCTCGTCTATGGAATGGGGATGGTGACTCACAGGGCAGCTGTTGGGGTCAGATGTGATGACTGGGGTGTGAGGGGGGTGTAGATGCTTCCTGATTCGACTCCTAAGGTCAGAAACGGTGACACTGCCCTGCCTGACCCCAGCCTGACCCAACTGCCACTCAGCAGGGGGCCGGGCGTGGTGGCCTCTCTGTCGTTTCAGCATGGCAGCACAGGACACTTTAATTACCGCCTGTCTTCTGAGATAAAGCCGGTGGGTCCCACATTCCATACCCGGTCATTTCATCGATAAGACCCTAGGGCCAAGCTGAGACGTCTTATGCCCAGGAATGCCGGTGAAAACGATAGCAGGGGAAGAATTAGACCCAAATTTGCTTCACACAAGGTGCAATTTTAGATACATGCTGATAACTTCTCTGGGGGCTAAAGGCTCCGGAATTCCAACTGACCCTGGACGAGAGGGCAAAGGAATCAGGAAAGTTGGCTTTGCGTAGGTGAGAACGTGAGCTGTGGGGTCGGACGGCCTGGATTAAACCTCAGGTCAGCCACTGGCTTCTTAGGTGACCTTGGGGATCTCGCTGAACTGCTTTGTTCCTCAGTTTCTCCATCTGGAAAATGGGGATATTAATCGTTCCCATCATTTTCTGGCTGTGGACCAAACACAGTGAGGCTGGGGGTGTGCCTGACACGTGTTGAGAGACCCTGGCTGTGTCCCTCCTGGGCCTTGGTGCCTCTGCCTGTAAAATGGGGAGGTCTTCCCCCTCGCCCCGTAAGAATGGTTTGTTGATCCCTTTTCTCCCGCCCCCACTGCTTAGATTTGGTAAACTGGCCAAGTCATCTTTCCAGAATCAGGGAGTGTTTCCAATGTGCTTCTTCCATACTGGGGTCAGCCCATGCCCCTGAGCTCTGTGTATCCGAGCCTCTGCCAGCATCCCCACTAGGGTTGCTTGTGGCGCTGCACACCTGGCGTGTCCCCCAGGGGCTCTGGGTTTCAGCTCCCTGCCCCCCGTTCCTGTCCTTGCTTTTCCCGCTCAGCAAGTGCACCCCTCTCTACCTGGGGGCTCAAGGCCAGAGCCTCTTCGTCAGTGCTTCCAGCCCACATGGCCCACACCCAGCCCCTCACCTAAGCCCTTCCCTCCTTCACCCCTGCTGGAGGAGACCCACAGAGAAGACCCTCAGTGGACCACAAGAAGAGGACAGAATGGATTCAAGGTTTGGGTTTCTATGTTATGGCAGCCCAGCCTCGCGAGTCCAGACGAATTCAAGGTCCCACCTTAGCCAGAACTGGCCCTGGGGAGATGGCGCCCTGCGCTGGGTGGGCTCAACACCTCTCCTGGGCTCCCTGACCTTGGACTTCTCCATCACCTCCCACCTGGCTGGAGCCGCCAGCTCGCGGGACCCCCTCCTGGCCTGACACCCTGAGGCAGGTGCATGCCACCCTGCCCACGTCTCTGTCCCCAGGCCCAGTTCAGAGTCATCCTCTCTGGGGCTCCGGCTCTGCCAGCTGAGCCTGTTGGGAGACCGGCCTTGGCAGGGACCCAGCTATCCCCCGCGTGTGCATTCTTCCTTCCCGAGGAATGTCCTGGACCCAGGTTCCCACAGAGGTGCCCGAACCAGGGGAGTGACTCTGAGCCCTGGCTGTTGTTTTGCTGCAGAGAAAGCCATTCTTTTGAACTCTGCTAAGTGAGCCCACGAACGGGGCATAACTGAGACGCAGGAATTCCTGGGTCAATGGGCATTCACTCGGGCAGGGCCGCCCTTCCCCTGCGGGTCAGCAGAAACGTCAAGTGAAACCCGTTCTAATTAAAGGGAACGTTAAGCAGGGGCCTTTAGAACACGGCCATTTCCTAAAATTTTCGCTTGATACCAATTAATTTCCCAGAGGAAGGAGCAGGGGTATGGTGGGGGGGAGGCAGAGACCCCTTGGAAAGTGCGGTTTTCCCACCTCAGTCACTCATTCTGCATTTATCTAGAACTTCATCTCAAGAGTAATTTAAAGACTCCAGGAAAACTTCTCCAGGCCCTAATTCATCAACTGTTTAATGGGAGTGCTGTCCCTAGGCCGCCAACACTTCCTGGGGGGAGAAATGACCATCAGGGCGCTAGGACAAGGGAGTTGAGACATTGATGCGGCCAGGAGACAGAGCTGGGGAGGCCAGGGCTGGTCTGAAGACATCTTGGACCCACAGGTGTTCCTTCACTCAACAGGCATTAATTGAGCAGCTTCTGTGTACCAAAAACTGTCCTAGACACTGGGACAGAGCCACAGATGGGCCTGACTGGTGCCGTCTGCCACGTGGCTTACACTGCACTCTGCTTCAGATCATTTGTGACGCACGTGGGCTTGCTCTGCCTATGTTCCTACGTGCATGTGTGTGTGTGTGTGTGTGTGTGTGTGTGTGTGTGTGTGTGCATGTGTGTGTGAGAGAGAGACAGAGACAGAGAGACAGAGGAAGCTGTCTCATTCTCCCTTTGTACTGGTTTCTACAATCTTCCAACTGTCTTGGCCAAAAGTGGTCAGAGTGTGGAGAGGAGAGTCAGAACCTAGTGGGCTCATGACGAAGCTGGGTGTCCATCTCACTGAGAACAGTGGCTCAGACCCCAGACATCCCCAAGGATCAGTTGCCTAACTGGACTGAGAATTCTACCATTGATTAGTTTTGTCTGCCATGAGTGCAGAAACAGAGAGTGACAGCACGTGTGCTCTGCAGGTGCTGACCCTGCTCTAAAATCTAAACTGAAGTAGCATTTGAGGAAAAATCATAAAAGCTCTTGGACAAAGCCACAGAACTTTATCTCAGGGACCTGGAGTACCTTGTGACATGGTCTAAGGTTAAACTCCCGCATTGGTCCCGTCCATTGCCCAGGGTCACCTGATGGCCTCAGACACCAATGAGGGTTAAACCTCTACCCGATGCGCCCACAGTCACCGGCTTTATGGCCGCTGCTCTCACCCTCTGGGGCCTTCCTTGTGCCCTATTTGGCTGCTGGCTTGCCATCTGCAAAGCTTCCTGGGAAAGTAGTACATTTGGTTAATTAATCATCTGAGTCAGTCTTGGAAGGAATAGAAGCAAAGGAATTCCTTTCGAGAAGTGAGGCCCAGGGTTGCTTCCCGGAGGAGATGGCCCACCTCACGCCCGGCAGCTTGCAGTTTCCTGACAAGTCACGTCCATTCCGGCCTCTGTACCTTTGCTCAGGCAGTTCCCTCTGTCTGAGATGCTTTTCCTCACCTGGTCTGCCTGGAAAGCACTTCTCAGCTCCATGGGGCTCAGAGAAAGCCTCCTGCCCTCCTTGGCCCACCCTCCCTGAGCTCTGCAGCCTTCCCAGCAGACCTGGGCTTCGCACGGATCACACCACGTGGTAAACAACATGTGTGCTGGGTCTCTGTTCACTGCTCGATTCCAGGGGCCCAGGACACAGTCCAGCCTGGGGTGTGCCACATGGCAGGTGCCCTCCGAGAGTCACAGTGCGGTCACGTCTCCTCCTGGTGCCTTGTGTCGGCCATTATTTCTGAGTCTGTCTCTCCCAGAGCTCACAGAACCAGTGACTTGGTTCATTTTGGTCCTAATGGTGTCAGCGAAGGGCCCGTGTCCAATTCGTCCTGAGTCTGTGGACACAGGAGAAAGGCCCTTGCAGGTCTTTAAGATTTACTTTTTATTATTGTTTGATAAATACTTTCTTAAACTCCTCCGAAAGGTTCTTGAGGGTGTGAGTATGTGGACTTTTCCACTGGACAGGCAGGGTCCCTGTCTGCCCCAGGAGCTGGGGCGGGGGGCACAAGCCGGCCAGTTTTTTTCCCCTTGAGGGTGAGATTCCCACTTGGGGTTCTGACCAGCGAGGCCGAGATGCTAAAGCCTGTTTTACTGCTACAGGACTTCGCTGGGACACCTCTTCCATCTGCGTGAAAATCATAATACAGTTGTTGTTAATATTAGCATAGTATTACCACCCGTGAGTTCTTAAATACATACTGTGTTCCAGACACGGAGCTAAGCACTTTTCAGTGCATTCTCTTATTTCATCCTGCCGCAACTTGCTGGCATCGATCTGAGAAGTGGGAGGCCCAGAGAGGCGGGGCAAGGTGGAGGTTTGGACCAAGGTCTCCCTCCCTCTCTCTCTTCACAGCCTAGGCCACCTGAATGTCTGTCTGTATCAGCTATCTACGCTGTGTAACAAACCACTGCAAATTTGGGAGCTTCAAACAACACTCATGTACTAGCTCACAGCTCTGCAGGTCAGAAGTCAGGCACAGCTTAGCTGGGTCCTCCACTTGGGGTCTTGTGTGGCTGCAATCCAGGTGCTGGGCAGGCTGCATTCCTTCTGGAGGCTCCAGGAAGATTCCACTGCCACATCGTTCAGGTTGTTGGCCAGATTCCATTCCTCAAAGCTGTAGGACTGATGTCCCCCTTTCCTTGCTGGAGAAAACCCTCTGCTTCTAAAGGCTCCCGTGATTAGATCAGGCCCCCCTGGCTGAGTGATGTCCCTTTTGTACAGTGAACAAGTTGTGCCACGTGACGCAAGCTATTATGGGGGTGGAATCCATCATATTCACAGCAGCAGGGAGTACATGGGGCGTGTACAGGGTAGGAGGGATCATGGGGGCCATCCTAGAATTCAGCCTGCCACGACGTAACAACGCACTCAGTGACATCAGCATCACCTTGGTCCTAGGTGCTGCCTTCCCATGGGGGCAGCAGGTGCAGGGCTGCGCTGGGTGTGCTGCCTTTGGCTCTAGGCGGCCCCAGGCTGGAATTACCGCTCCCTCTCTAATGGTTGAGAGCCTCAAGGAGGCACCTTAATTGTTCCAGGCCTCAGTTTGCTCATCTGTAAAATGGAATGACAGCCGCTGGTGGGGCAGCTGGACAGCTGAATGAGTCAAGCAGACAAGGGTTTTGGTTTTGTGCGATGAATGAGGCGGCTGTGTCGTGGTTTTTAAACAGTCCAGCCTTCCGTTTCATTTCGAGCAGGATGTGATTGATGATAAAGCACGTTTTCAGGCTCAAACACATCCAAGTACACTTTAGGCATCTTTCAAAATCCAAGTGTGGCCAGAGAAGGGCCTGGTTGCCAGATGGGGTCCCTGAGAGGCGTGCCATGTGCTGACCAGTGCCGGCCCCGGCTGGTGGTTGCAGCCTGGCCCTGCCACTGTCCAGTTGCTACAGAGCCATATCCCCTCAGAGCAGGAACCTTGGGTGGGTAGTGACGGCAGGTGGAACATTCGTGTTCCCACGGTAGTGGAGTGGTGGTCCCTCATTTGCAGTGCCCTGAGGGGCACCCACAACCCTGTGTCCCACCTTTCGGGGACCTCAGCTTCCTCCTCGTGTCTTATTGGGGAAGTTTGGCCAGAATGGTATTGATGGGGACAGTGTTGTCCTTTGGGGGCAGACAAGGAGTATCATATGAGGGGCCACAAGGACAGGCTCTTTCGTAACAGAGGTAGGGTAGGTAATGGTTAGTGAGCAGATTCTGGTGCAACCTCCTGGGTGAGCTTCTCAACTCTACTACTAACTGTTATGTGACTGAACCTCCCTGAGGTCAGCCTAATTTTCCTCCTCTGTAAGATGGAGACAGTGGGGGACCGAGCTCAAAATGTTGTCATGAGGATGAAATGAAATAGTGTGGGAATGCAGTTGGCGTGTAATGAATGCTCCATAAAAGTTAGCCTCACCATTTTCATCTTCATCCCATCCTCATCACCATCGTCATTATTACCATTATCACTGTCATCATCATTGTCTTTACCATCACCATCACCACCACCATCACCATCACCATCACCACCACCATCACCATCACCATCACTATCACCACCACCATCACCATCACCATCAGCACCACCACCACCGTCACCATCACTATCACCACCACCATCACCACCATCATCACCATCACCATCACCATCACCACCACCATCACCATCACTATCACCACCACCATCACCACCACCATCACCACCATCATTACCATCATCACCATATCACCATCTATATCACAACCATCATCATCACCATCATAATCACTATCATCATCACTATCACCACCACCATCACCATCATCATCACCACCATCATCATCATCACCATCACCACCACCATCACCATCACTATCACCACCATCATCATCACCATCACCACATTCATTACCACCATCACCATCTATATCACAACCATCATCATCACCATCATAATCACTATCACCATCACTATCACCACCACCATCACCATCATAATCACCACCATCATCATCATCACCACAACCACCATCACCACAATTATCATCACCATCATCATCATCATCACCATCACTATCATCACCATCATCATCATCATCACCATCACCATCACCATCTCATCATTGGTTAAACAGGTGGGTTTGCACCCTGAGTATTGCAGGCAGAAGGAGAGAATCCAGCCGAGACAGGTCACAATTCTATGGTACTCCCCACCTCCCAGCGGGGCTCAGATGGGCTGTGGTTGGGGAGTGGTGGTCACAGAAGCAGACGTTGGCCCAAAGGAATGAACTTCGTTGTCCAAAACTAGCCTCCGGTGGGACTGAGTCTGGGTCAGCATTGGGTGCTGGAAGTATCTAGGATTGCTGGGCTGCTGATAGCAAACTATAGTGGGGTGAGGCATCTCCTGGCACCCACCTCCTTCCATCTGCTCCTCAGAAGGGACTCATTGTGGAGAGGGGCTGCCTGGCAGGACCCCAGAGGTCTCACGCCACCTCCGCCTCTCCCTTGCTGGATGGTCTCAGACAGGCCCCTTTGGTCTCAGTTTCCTCTTCTCTAAGAGAGGGACACATTGGGACACCACTGGGGGCCTGCCCTGAGTAGCCCATAGATGGTGCTGATGGGCGTGAAAGCCACCCGGGGGCAGGTGGCAGGGGGGCAATGGGTGTGGACGAGCTGCAGGGGCCCCTGGAATTCCCGAACTGAGGTGCTGGCTACTGTCAGAAGCTCTTCCCTTCCATTCAGTGGCGGCGCAGACCCTGCTGGGACGTCTCAGCAGCTGTCCACAGGCATCTGCAGCTCAGTGTAAACCAAATGAGGGGTAACGAAGTCCCTCCTGCGTTACCCCAGCCTCCACATCTCACCAAATGGTGACTCTGTCCTCCCAGGAGTTGTCTGGACACCCCCTCACCTTGACTCTGTCCCTGAGCCCTGTCAGAGTCACCTTCTGTCCCACCACCATCTCCCACTAGGGACCTGTGTGACCATGGTCACCTCCTCTCCTGCCCTTTCCAACCCCCTTCCATGCAGCGTCCAAGAAGAAGCTTCTAAAGTGGAAGAGAAGGCCCTGTTCCTGTCACGTGCAGGGTCCCGGCCACGGGATAAAGTGCAAGGCCCTGACAAGGCCTGAGAGGCCCCGTGAGCTCTGGGGCCGGCTGGTGGCTGGTGGCGGCAGCTCTGTCTCAGGTGGAGGGCCGGCTTGCCACCAGGGTCCGGGCACACGGAACTGACCCTGAGCAGGGCCGGGGCTGTCTCCTCTCTGGGCCTTGGGCCTCCTCTGGGCCTCCTCTCTGGGCCTCCTCTCTGCACTCACTCTCCCCCCTCTTCCCACCCATCTGTCTCATGGGGGGCGCCGTGTGGGGTTATGAGTTACTGCGTGTCCGCTTATGGGACGCCTTGTGTATGGGAAATCCTCAAGAATGTTCTGTATCTGTACACCTGTTGTTACGAATATTATTGATATTGCCCAGGAAGGGATGAGGAAGTGAATGAATAAATGGAAAGTGAACGAATGGAGGAAGGAAGGAAGGAAGGGTACTCGGCTACATCACCCCCTGGTTCCCTGGGGCCTCCAGGATCACTGAAGGAGTTGGCCGTGTAGATCTCCCACAGGGGGGACCCAGACAAGCCAGGGAGGCCTGACTCACCCGGGGCAGGTCTTGGGTTGGGTGTCGCTCCACCCTGACCTTAACCCAGGGGAAGGAATCCGTGGGGGGAAGAAAGCCCCGCCCACCCAGGCTGCTCCGCCCACCTCACTTCCGAGGTCTTGGTTCTGTTCTCTTTCTGTTCCTGTCCGGGTCCCATCTACCGGCCCATTCTCTTAGAAAGGAGGAAGGTAAGTCTGGAAGGAGGCAGGTGACTTGGTGCTCCAGGGCTGCGGCTGGGCTAGAAGCCAGGTGCCCGGGGCTCCCTCCCACCTGATACTGTGACTGTCCCCCACCCTCTGCCTCTCCTGTGCCAGGAAACAGAGGGAGGGAACTTCTGGTGTCATCACTTCTGGATCGGGCACGTCCACCTGCTGTATCTCCCCCCCCCAACCCCCATATCCAGGGTCCCAGCTTTCATACCTCTGGGGCCGGGGAGCTCACCACCTTAGAGACAGCCTGTTCAGCTGCTGGGCAGCTTGTATCAGGGAGTTCCACCAGCTTTGGAGCCATAAGCTACTTTTTCTGGATGTTTCTCCTCGTTGCCAGCGGCCTTGCCTTCCGGGGGGTGGGGGGAGGGTGGGGCAGGGGGCCAGCTCAGCTCAGGCCCCACCCCCGTGGAGATCTGGGAGATCACGGTGGGTGTTTCCCAGACAGAGTGAACGGGGAGCCTCCCTCGGGCTCATACCTTTTGGTGGTGCAGTTGTTGGGTCCGTCTGCTGGCCTGGGACCCCCTGGAGGACAGACAACTGCCCGCTATCAGGTGGGCCTTCAGGCGAGCGGGAGAGGCTGAGTTTTATTCAGAGAGAGGCGGCCGGGCCTTGGTGGGTGTGAGTGGGGGGGGCAGCGTGTTTGATACATTCTAGGCAAGCCCTTTGGCTGTTGTGAAGAGCTGGCTGGAGGGGGCAGAGGGCAGCAGGGGCCCACTGTGAGGCTGGGGCGGTCATCCCCGCAGAGCCGGGGACGCTCAGACAGGCAGGTGGGGCTGCAGGTAGAGACGGAGGGGTATTTTGGAAGTGAACCCAACAGATCTTGTGGGAAGGGCCGGGGCCACTGCTGAGCTGCCCAGGTCCTCCTCTGCTGGGCACGCCTCCCACCCAAGGCAGTGGTGGGGCTAGGCTGCTACGCGGCGCGAGGCCTCCAGCTCCCACCAAGATAGACCAGCGGCTTCTGTCTGGTCACTGCCTTGTGCGTGAAGACGGCAGGATGCTTCTCAAGGCCCCAGAGCCAGGGCCGAGACCTCAGTGTCCTTGCAACTTTGGGCTGGTAAGGCTGCTCACCCACTGTCTCCAAGGACAGTGGGAGGGACTCCTGGGCTGGGACCGCCCCGTGGGTTTGGGCAGGTCTCTCCACCTCTCAGGTCCCGGGCTGGCGAGTGCAGATGTGAAGGAACCCAGACGCCGAGGGACCCAGGCCCGGACCGTCCGCTGGCCCTCGGCTTGACGGAGGCAGTGGGAGCGCCCAGCCCGAGGAGGTGACACATTGGTGGCAGGTCTCCTGCAGGGCGGCAGCCCCGCACAGCCGTGACAGTCAGGATCCCGTGGGGGCAGGTGTGCGCCGCCCGAGGCCGCAAATAAAGCTAGTCACCGCCTCCAGTGACTTACTTCCCTGCTCTTAGGACAATGTCCGGCGTCTACTCCACACGCCCTGGAGGGCCGGCCCGCCGGTGCGCTGCCCACAGCCTGTTCCCACAATGCACTCTCCCCAGCTGGGCCTTTGCACACCCGTTCCCTCCGCCTGGAACAGCCTCCCCTCCCCTCCCTGCCTCCTCCTTGACTTCGGTCCTCGGTTCCGGGCCCCCCCTTGGCCAGCCTTCCTGACCACCCCGGGCAGCGGTGGTGCTTCCCTGACTGCCTGCGTCGCTCTCCTCTGTGGCAATGAGCACAGCCTGCTGATGGTTGGGAGTGTCACTGCTGTCCCCCTTGAGCACAGGGCAGGATGCTCCGTGGAGGGATCCAAAGCTGGGCCCCCGCAGCCCCATCCTTCCCTCTGCTTTGTGGGGAGAAGGCCTCTCGGGGTGACACCTGCCCCTGGAGCCGGGAGTGGACAGAGGGAGAGGAAGGAGGACGATAGCCAGGAGGCCGGGACACGGACACGCCTCGGGGCCACGGATGCCACCGTGAGCCCCGCGTGGGATGAGACGCAGGGATTCTGGGACACGGCTCTGCGAGGGTGGCGGGCGCCAGGCCCAGCACTGCTCACCCTGAGATTGGCCTTTCAAGGGGAAGTTGAAAAGGCCATTAACTCTGGTGTGAGGAGGTCCACAGGAAATGGCTCTGGACGGAAATGACATGGTCCCGCATGAACACAGCACTCAGCTGTCACCTTGCTGCGTCCTCCGGCCCGAGCCAAGGGTACCCAGCGTGACCCCGAGCTGGGAGGGGGCCAGGCAGCAGCCTGTGGCCCGAACAGAGCTGCCTCTGACTGTGACAGGCTCGACAACCCCGCCACGACCCCTCACAGCTGCAGCCCTGGACCCTGCTCTGGCGGCGCTGGGTGCCTGCCGAGCGCCCACTGGGTGCTTAGATCCTGGGGCCTGGGGCAGGGGAGCTGAGAGGACTGGCCGGCAGGGTCACCCCACTCCCACCTCCCCCCGTCAGGCCCTTCGTGGTGGTGACAACGTTGCCCGTCGTTGTCACCTTCCTCCTTGCCCCCGGGGGCGGGGGGGGCCTCCAAGTGGTCCTCAGGCCTGGCCTCATTTCATCTTTGAGACGACTCCAAGAGCTAGTTACGAAAAGCCTCCTTTTAACAGATAAGGAAACTGAGGCCCAGAGAAGCCCAATGACTTGCCCAAGTCCAAGCCCCTGCTGCCCTCCCTCCTGCTGTCCTGCCCCCTCCCCTTCTCCTCCCCCTTCCTCTCTCGCATTTCTTTCCCTCCCT